TGTGAATATATATATATATATATATATATATATATATATATATGGATCGGGTTACACGCTACACGAGTATTGTACAGTGCTAAGTGATTGAGTGTGTTGAGTATTGAGCACGGCAAGAGATAATGCGAGACAGTGAGGTTGAGTACTCTGAGAGTGTGAGTACATGAGTTCATCTCTGAGATACACGACATTGACATGCGCATATGACATACATGCATAGAGATGCATTTTTTTCCTCATGTTGCACGGTATCACATCATTCATGATTTTTTTACACACATTGATATGTGAGCATAGAGAGGTATTTAACACTTTCTATCTGAAAAGAAAATGAAACATCTTATTAATTGTGGAAAGTATTTTTGGAAAAATTACAGTTTTCAAACTATCTCATATTTTTCGACGATTTTGGTAAAAGATTTGAATTTTTACTGATATTCTTGAGAAAGCGGAACTATTTTCGGAAAAATTGTGAAAAAGCTGAGCATTTTATCTCTGAGTTACTTCCTTATTTATATGCTCTACGTTGTTATGAACTGCTGTTGGTTATTGGTGTTAGACGCGACCTATGTTCCAGCTCGTCACTACTTTCAACCTAAGATTAGGTTTGTTACTTACCGGTACATGCGGTCGGTTGTACTAATACTACACTTCTGCACATTACGTGCAGATGTTGGTTGTTGTTGTTGTTGTGTTCGATGGTTGCTGGATTTGAAGATGTACCTGCATTCCTGTTGTAGCTGTCGCTTGTTCATGGTAGCCTTAGATTTATAAAACTCTGTTTATGTACTTTTCAAACAGAAGGTGTATTTATTTCATATCAGCTTTGTAAACTCTATTTGCTGGATTTGAAGATGTAACTGCGTTCCGGTTGTAGCTGCCTCTTGTAAATGGTAGCTTTAGATTTATAAAACTTTGTTTATGTACTTTTCAAATAGAAGGTGTATTTATTTCATATCAGCTTTGTAAACTCTATCCTTAGAAGCTCATGATTTGTACTACCAGTCCTTGGGAAATGTATAAAATTTCAGATAATTTCTTTGTTTAAATTGTTTTATTAATATGATTGAAATTGGATAGTTATTAGTTGGCTTACCTAGCGGGTTGAGTTAGGTGCCATAACGACCAGTGGATTTTGGGTCATGACAGATCACAACTCTGGAATATTCATCTCTACTGAATATACAATAATTATGTTGCTGCTTGATTAATTAGTAACTTGTTAGAATTATTGCTTAGTATAATCACATGTTTGAACTCTGATTGACTCGACTGAATAAGAATCTTGGTGAAACTGGTGGGTAGTTAACACAAGTTTCTATGAGTTCGACACTCGATTTATCACTTTATTACTTGTACGACCACGTATACTTGCGTGTGCATTTGGGAGCAACAAGTTTTTGACGTCATTGTCGGGAACATGATTATTGACTATTTTACTAGCTTTTACTTTAGTTTATTTCGTCAAGTGTAACGTTTTTATTGGTTGCTCTGCTCCCAGGAAATATGCACCGGAAAGTCCCCCGTATTACCAAGAATATGTTTTACCACTTATCTTAAAATCTAGATTCTCAGATGTCGGCATTGGACTAGCATTGAAGTCTATAAATACAGAGTGTAAAACAAAAAACCTCTTCCTAGTCCTGTGGCCAAGAATATGGTTTACCACTTTTCTTAAAAAATCCAGATGTCGGCATTGGACTAGCATTAAAATCTGTAAATACAGAGTGTATAACAAAAACCTCTTCCTAGTACCCTGTGGCCAAGAATCATGTGTTTTACCACATATCTTAAAATCTGGATTTCCAGATGTCAGCATTGTAAAACGACATCTTTGTAAAACGAAATCTTTGTAAAACGAAAAACACAGCCATAAGCAATTGTAAGATCGGTAAGAGTTTAAGTTAATTGTGTCCACTACTTGTTTCCAAATATTTCCAAGTTCAAAAGCAAAAAATCATGGACAAAATCAGAAATTGAGCTATGATATTGGCGTAGCTAAGGGCCAAGCCCAGGTTTGCATTAATCTTCAGTATCTCTTTCATTTTTGTGGTTTCTTTTTATCTGTTTAAATATTGATGATAGAGTTATTCGGTGCAAGTTGACCCGATTACCACTGCACTAGAAAATCATGGTCCAATCTTAGTATTGATAATAGCCATTCCAACGAGTAGGGGTGCCTTGTAGACCCTCGGTATTCTTCCCTCCAACAACTTCCCACCTTGTTCCTGGGAGACTCAAATTCACAACCTCTTGATTGGAAATGGAGGTTGCTTACCATCAGAACAACCCCTCTTGCCGATCGGTGGAGTTACGTCCTAAATAACACTCTGACATTTTTTTAATTTGCGATGCATCAGGAAAAAGGTAGTCAATTGGTGGAGAAGGCTGGGACTGCTGTGCAGTCTGCCAAGGAAACAGCGCAAGAGGTTCCGATTTTGTTAATTATTCATTTATCAATCAAAAATGATCTTTTTTTAGGCAAAGCCAGAATTTAAAGTTTATGGGTTCTGAATATGCCACAAAATTCATAATTAGTCCTAGCAAATAAATTTTTAGTATAAATGCAACGTTTAAGCAGAAGTGACCGGGTTCAGCCGAACCCGCATACTATAGGCTAGCTCCGGCTCTGGATCTATCTTGTGAGGATCGGAGCTAGAATACAACTTACGAATTTGGCAGAACCCATTCATGAGATATTTACATAAATAGCCGACCAAATTCACTATTTACTATTTTTATCTGGTAAACATATATTATATATCCGCCGGCTATTTTTAGTTTAAGCGGTTATTTAGATTAGTTCTTCAAAATTACTTTAATCTATATAAATAATTTATCCAGATCCCCGATAACCTCTTTTTAGAGTTTAAATCCCTTTAATTCAAAATTTTACCTTCGCCACAGCATCCTGTATGTATAAGTCTTTGCAATAAATCTGAAATTTGTAAAGCTTATTTATATTAAAAATATTCTTTTTAATTTTGGTGATATTTTTATATAGGTGGGGCAGCAAGTGAAGGCCAAAACACTAGAAGCAGCAGATGCCGTTAAAAATGCCACTGGCATGAACAAATAAACCACGTTAATTTCTACCATATTATAGTTTATGAAGATCTTAATTTGTTCTACTTCAATTGGGCTACCAATTTATGTTGCTTAAGTTTGAATTATTGGTCAGAAGTTCTGCGTCTCTGAATTATATTTTAAAAGCAGTCTCTGTAATAAAATTGTAATAATGTTTTGTTCTTAATTATAATTGCATATTTAGTAGCACTTGCAGTAGATATATGATCCAAATTCACTTGGATGTACTAGCTTTGCTGTTCTTATACTTTCGTGTTCTTTTTAAGACCACGATCTAACTTTCATAAAATACTAGTACTTTTCTCAAGATTATAACGACAAACTCAGGCGGCTTAGTACTATTGGGACCTAAAGTCAAACTTCCATAAGAGTCCTTTAATAATTTTTTATAATAAAACAATTCATATATATTATTTATTTGAAATATAATTTTCTACCTTATTCAGATGTAAAATTATGAATATTTATTTTATAATCAATTTCTTCTAATAGTTATTTTTCAATTGATAGTATAGTTAATCCATTTTAATCTCTTGTGCCATGGTTATTCTTAAGTAGTAAGATTTTATCAACCATAATTTAAAAAACTTCTTTCAAATTTCTAGTTTGTGATCGAGAACGACCCGAGACAACTGTTACAAGAACTGTTACCATTATTCTATATGTAATATAAGCATTTGAAAAAGAATTAAATCTTTTTATTGGATTGAGTATATCAATTAGAGTACTATTACGAAACAATATGATCTCTTGGATGCACAAAGAGAAAATATAATAGTAGTAACGTTTGGTGAGAATTGAGAAAGATCAAAAAAGGAAATTGAATATTGTGCAAACCAAGAAAGGAAGTGGAAAAGGTTTACATAATATTTAATGAGAAAAAGACTAAAGAAAAAAGAATAATCACTTGATTCATTCCATAAATTTTGCATTTATACGTTAGGACCCATTTTTAAGAAACAAAAATATCTTTTTATTTTTTTTATTTTTTACCAAAATATGTAATAAGAGTAAAAGTACTTAATTAAAAAAAATATAGAGTACAAAATAGCATGGGTTTTACCCAAAAGCCGGCCCTGGAGGAAATAGTAATTAATAATTCGTGTCAATAATATTACTTCTTCTGTTACGGTATTAAATGTTTTTCACATGATAGTTTGATTTATGCGTCAAATAGTATGGAAATAATTTTTTTTGGTTAAAAGGGATATTATATTTATATGCTAGTTAACAAAAGGAACCACATCAGGGCCATTACTGGGGTATCGAAGAGACCCCATAGTTATAAAGTTATGCATGATTGTGTTTAAGTTACAACCCACAAAAGATCTAATTAGTTCAGTTCCTAGGATGTCTGCCTAAAATACATCATTGACAAATATCGAAGGAACTGATAATGTCATAGATTTGTTCAAAAATATTTTCTTTGTTGCTTCCTTGGCCAATGCATCAACTACTCTGTTATGCTCCCGGTAGATGTGCCTCACTACCACGCTGCCCATCCTTTGGATGCTTGACCTGTATTCACAAATTAGAGGGTCATAAATCAGACTTCCATTCAAAAGCATATTGATTGTTTCAGCTGAATCAGTGTTTATTTCGAATGGAACTAAATGGTTTTGCTCCGCCAGTTGTAGACCCCGTATGAAGGCCTGAACTTCTGCCCTTGTGTTTGTTGTTTTAGGGATATTGTCCATGTAGCCCAATATCCAGTCGTCATTGTAGTTCCTGAATACTCCTCCTGATCCTACTATTCCTTGGTTCCCTCTTGCTGCTCCATCTGTATTCAGTTTATAAAAACCTCTGGTTGGAGGTTCTCTGGTGAGTTACCTTTGTCGAGTCATTCTTTGTAAGCATAAGGTATTCAATCGCTTTTGAGATTGTGTTAGTGGCATTGATGTGCTCTTTCTTGTTATTGAATAAATTGTTGTTTCTGGTTAACCAGATGTGCCACAGACAAAAGGGAATGAGGTTGTCCCAAAAGATATAGTTGTTAAAAAGGACATTTTTGAGAGAGTTCCATGTTGATTGCCACTGGTGGCCATTGAAAACTGGAACATTATTTGAACTATTTCCTGAAGATTTTGATAGAATTTCATTCAGAAATGGACAGCATTAGGACATCCAAAGAAAATATGGGTAATATTTTCCTGTTCATTGTTATAGTAATGACATTGAGGGACACAATTGATTCCAATAGAGTGGAGGAAGCTCCTAGTTGGAAGTCTCTTATGGGTTAGGAGCCAGATGAAGTACTTGATTTTGTTGGGGGCTTGTAGCTTCCTTATCCATTTGAAGGAGCCTTCCTCCCCAGAATGGAGACTGGTTGTAGTCCTGCTTAGGAAAGAGTAAGCAGAACTATTTGAGAACTGGCCATTAGGAGTTCTCACACCTCCTTTTTACCTACACCCCCGGAAGGGGCATATAAGGGAGTTTTTCCAATTAAAGGACAATCAAAACGAGATTTATTATTAAAAGATTCAGAGTCGCCACCTGGGATAATTATGGTGTCCCAAGTCACCGGTTCAAATCCCAAGTCGAGGAAAAGGTTGGCTCTGTATTACAGTCCACGAACCAGAAATTCGGGTAAGAAATTCTGTTAACCCAGGAGAAGGTGTTAGGCATTTCCGAGTTCCGTGGTTCTAGCACGGTCGCTCAATTGTTATTATTGGCCTAATTATCTGATTTTAAACATGTTTAATCCTATGTGCAATTTTAACTTTTTAACCGCTTTTATTCATTTTTAAAGGAAGATTGCAACGTCATTTAAAATATGTCTCGAACCACGTCACATAAATGCACCCGCAGTCCTCAACACATTTTATCTAACGTTGAGATTTGGATTTGGGTCACATAAATGCGCACCCAAGTTTAGGAAATTAATTTTATGACGTGCCTAAAGCAACTACGCATTTGCAACTTTGCGAGGNTTAAAATATGTCTCGAACCACGTCACATAAATGCACCCGCAGTCCTCAACACATTTTATCTAACGTTGAGATTTGGATTTGGGTCACATAAATGCGCACCCAAGTTTAGGAAATTAATTTTATGACGTGCCTAAAGCAGCTACGCATTTGTAACTTTGTGAGGGCCATGAAAGTTCAACTAAATGGCACGCCTTGGATTCTAAGGATAAAAATAAAATTAATTGAACGAGGGCCATGCAATTGTCATTTTTGTTTGGCATGGTGCGCCTCGACTTATTTTAATCAAGAGGCTTCTATATTAAATTACGAGGGCCATACACTGTATGTGTCACCGAGTATGGCTCACCTCCAATTCATATAGGGAATCTAATTAATTGAAGGGGAAGACTTATCAAAGATTTGGCTTAAGAAATTGAACTAACTTTAAATTAACAGATCAATCGAGAGAATGGATTCTCTTGGGCTCGAGCTACCAGCCCTATAAAGAGAAGCAACTGATTTCCAACTCAGGCCCAATCATGAGCCCAAATCCTCGGGAAAACTGGCACCAGCGGGAGGCAGGACTCCAGATCGAGTCCTTAAACTTGCAAGCATCGGATTATTTAAAGCAAGCCGAGTGAATCCAATTCCCAAGTTTTATAAAGCTAATTCGAAGCCCACTATGCCTTTACTTGACCAATCGATCCATTTGGCCCCAAACGACATTGCACATATGACTTAATTCACAATTACCTCAAACGAACTCAATGCTTAATCCACCCAATTCAAATGACCTCAAGTTAATTTAAAAATAAACTATGGCTTCTGTTTAACATGAAATCATATTGGTAATGTAAACGTGAATTGACAAACTGAGCTAGCATGAAAGCAAACTTGGTTTAATTTGTGATCACTACCACAATGATCCATATTCTTTCGACTCAAACTTACAACCAGACCTTTGCATGTTCAATCAAGCCAAACTTTATTTTTCAA